CCCGGGGACGCGCACCCCCTCCCCTCCCCCGGGGACGCGCGCGCCGGTCGGCGTCTTGAGGACTTTCCCGCCCAGGCTGGCGTCAAATCTCAACCCCCCAGATCTCAGCCTCCTGAGGAAGGAGAATTATGGGCTTGAGTCGGGTGCCCGGCCGTGACCCGTGCGCACGCGCGGCCACCGCTCAGGGTCCTGAGCTCCAGCTGCGATGGGAGGTGCGCGTGCGCGGTGCGCGTGCTGGCCGGGCTCCGCGCCGCCGCCCGTGATCCCGGGCTGCGGAGAAGCTTCCAGAGCCTGCGCGCCTTTACCTCCCGAGCCGCAGCCCCGGTGGTCGAGGCCTGAGTGAGCCAGGCAAGCCTTCCCCAGGCCAAGACCAGCGTCTGTCTGTCTGTCTGCAACACGCCTCCCTTTCATCGCCACGCATTCATGCGTTGGTGCGCACAGAGGGGGTTCTGCCATTTCCACCCCTGCGCGCCATGTGTTCCAGGCCTTCTCATAAATTAAGATGACTTCGTCGTTCCGTGTTCATGTTCACACAGGCTCCTCCTCCTACACAGCCTCGCCCACTGGCACCCCCCTTCCAAGGTACGTCTTACCTCCTGTCAGCAGCTTTCACTGAGAGTCTTTATTCTGGTTTCATTGATAGGTGTGATGCCTTTTCTGATTGTTCACACTCTACCATTCTTTTTTCCTTATCCTCATAAATAGCACAATGTGTGCAGAAGGGAAAGGTTTGTGTACTGTGGGGCTAAGATGTGGAGATAGGAGAACAAGTCTTGGGTCCACCTCTCTGAGCTTAGGTTCTTTGAATTACTTATAGGGGGCTTCTGAGGCAGGGTAAAGGTTTTTGGAGTAATCAGTGATCTACACACATGCAGTCAGTCTTCATGGCTCTTCATAGACTGTGTATACAGAAATAGCAGTGTTAGCATCCTGAGGGATAAATTTCAGCCTCCAAATGTCAAACGATTACTGATTGGATACTTGCAGGCCTGAATAAAGAGTCAGTACTTTCTACAGAACTGGTTTCCAAGTCCCTGAGAAATAACTTAGTCAAGTGTTCCTATCATAACCCATACATCACAGATGTCATCCGCAGCAAAGCCAGTGGGAAGTTAAGAATATGTTACTCAGCTGCATGGACTCCAAAACAAGTGGGGTGAGTGTGTGTGTGTGCACCAGTCCTGGGGTTGAACTCAGGGCCTGGGTGCTGAGCGACTCTCCACTCCCCAATGCTAGCACTCCAGCCATCTGAGCCATAGCTCCAGTTCCAGCTTTTTGGAGATTAATTGGAGATAAGTCTTAGAGTTTCCTGCCTAGGCTAGTTTCAAACCTTGATCCTCAGATCTCAGCCTCCTGAGTAGCTAGGATTACAGGCATGAACTACCAGAACCCAGCCCAAAATCAGTGTCCTTTAAGTTCTGTACAAGCAAATGATGCTAGAGGGTTTATTCAGATTTTTCCCTTGGTTTAAAAGTCAAGTATAAAACACAAATGGATTGATTTGCATTCATTCCCATTCACATCTGTGTTGTACCAAAATAAAAAAGCACAAATGAGATTTCTAGGAAACCCAATCCATGCCTCGACTTGTGTGGGACCATTCGGTGGTGGGTGGCACCTCTGCCTTGGGAATGGTGTGTGCAGAGGTGGGAATCGCGTCTCCCCAGGCGCGGCCCCTCCTGAGCCTTCCCAGCCCCAGATCTTCAGGGCTGGCTCACACTCAGGCAGTTGTCCCCAGAGGCCCACTCGCCTCCTCCACTGGAAAACAGCCCCCTCTTCTAGATGTCTGGGCTCAATCAGATCGAGTGTCAGGTGGCCACCGCAGGCGTTGCCATTGACTGCTGGAAGATAAATAAGGCCACGCAGAAGAGCCTGATGGTTCAGTGGCCCAACACCTGCCTGTGTCGGGTCAGCACCAGCCTGGGCTCCTGGGGTTCGCTTGCAGAGATCCCCACGACGGTCAGAAGTCGGCAGACCTGGCAACCTCGAGGGAGAGGGACTCATTTGGGCTCATGGCTTCCAAGAAGGGGCTGCATCTGGCCACGGCTTTCTTGGCGACAGAGTTCCAGGGCACAGCAGTGTCCCGTGGGGAGAGAGCCGACTTACCTGGCTCTGGAGTCCACAGTCCTGGGGCAGAGGCTGGGGACAGGGCTGGGGACAGGCCCCTGGCCAGGGCTGCGGGGCGGACACTTGTGTTCTCCACCATGGCGGTGTTTGGTCAGCATGAACAGCCTGAGTGAATTTTGGAAGAACTTGGCTTCTTGGCCCGCCCTTCCTAGAAAGGAGCGAGTCCTGCTCACCCAGACCGCAGGCCCGGGCATGGGCATGTCCCTGCACCGCGCACTGTTCCCGGGGCCACGAGGAACAGCAGGGGGACGGCTTGCGGCTTGTGTTTGTTGTTGCTACTGTTTTGTGTTTTTTTCAGGAATTTAATCACTTGAACCTTTTTTTTTTTGGGGGGGGGTCCAGTTGTGAGACCTGAACTCTGGGCCTGGGCGCTGTCCCTCAGCTCTTCAGCTCAAGGCGAGCGCTCTACCACTTGAGCCACAGCGCAACTTCCAGCTTTTTTCATTTTGCTTATGTGGTGCTGAGGAATCGAACCCAGGGCCTCAGGCATGTAAGGCAAGCGCTTTACCACTGAGCCACCTTCCCAGCCCATACTTGAACCTTTTTTTAAGTGACTCCTAAACACAACCATCTACCCTCTGTATCTAAGCTGGAGGCCATGGCTTCTGGGCTTGCTTTTACCCTCTCCTTCCACTCCCTCCCTCCCTCCCTTCCTTCTCTGCCATTCTCTCTTCTTTCTCATAAGGAAACTTCCTTTGCCCTACAGCATTTCCTCAGTCCATCCTACATACTGGCTTTGTTATTCCAAGTAACAAATGGTGAGCTGAGTAACAAATGGATGGCTGAGTTGGATGGTTCAGCATGTACCTGACATGTGAAGGCCCTAAATTTCATCCTCAGCACCATAAGGAAACAAATACCCATCAGAGGGACTGCAAAAAGTACTTGGTAATGACAGAAATTGTGTATGACCGCAAGCTATAGGACATTCAAAGAGACTGAGGTGAGCAAAAGTTTTGAAACACTTCAATGAGGAAGAATATATAAACTTTTTAAACAATGATGACCATGATTTGAAGCTGATCGGACAGCAACTGGGCAGATGTCTTTGTGGAGGATGGGGAAAGGGGGGCAGAATGCTTGGGATTGAATGAGGGTCTCCTGAAAGTTAAGCACAACCCCTCTGTCACTTTTGTGTAAGATTGTGGTGAACTGTGAGCTTGCACTTCTGATAGTCGTTCATGACTGATTCTATCAATCAAGCATGCATAAGAACACTTCCTTAACAACTTCCCAGTTAACTCAATTTTTATGCTGGCAACTTTCATGTGTCTTTTATACTTTATAAAATATCAAGGTTTATGGCATTAACACACTACAGACTAAAACATAAAACAGTAAGGTTTTACTCAGGACCATGACCGTAGGTGTAGACCACGTCAGTGTGGTCTTGCAGTGGGGTTAGCCAGGGCTCCACTGGGAACACGGCGTGGACAGGTGGGGATCCACTGCCGGCACAGCCAGACATCACCTGGGCATGAGAGGAAACTGGTGACATCTTACAGGGTTCCGCTGACTTACCAGGATTTCTTGTGAAGACTAGATTTTGCCATGGACCCACACAAGTGGGCCTAGAAGGTGGTTCAGGAGTCTGGACAAAGTTTGAACAAGCAGAAACCCTCATATACCCGAACGCTGTTATGAGAGTTAAATTGACTTAAACATTTAGGAACTGGGTTACCTGGCCTAAGTGAGCACCCTAAAATATTTGTTAAATTAACCGCATATTTCAGGAGGAACTATATCGTGGAGGGGCTGTTCTAAGGGATGAGACTGGGGTTATTAAACTGGGACTTCTGAACTGCTGGCTATGCAGCAGAGGCGTGCTTAAAAGTTTACAGAAAAGCTATTTATGTCCTTTTTTTTCTGGAAAACAATCCAATTTGAAGAGGAAAAAACATCCTGCAAGATGGCGAATTTACAAAAATATTTTGAGGGAGGTTTGAGAAGAGTTGGCTTTGGAAATTCAGGTTTTTCTACAGATTACATCTAAAATGAACTCTGAGCCACCCCCTAGAGAAACCTGAGGGCCAGCAGGCCGGGTCTACTGGTGAGCCATTTCGGTGCGATGGTCAGCACAGTTCTTAGCTCAGCTGTACACCAGCTGCCACTGATGCAGAGGACGGAAAAGCAGATTCACCACAGGTCCTAGATAGTTTCTAAAATATATGGAAATCATACAGCTGAATTTCATTTACTATCCCAGGGCAAGCAGGTGCATCTCTAATCCAGATCTGGGAGTCAGTTAAACTGGAAGAACAATATAGTTCTGTTTACTATCCCCTCATCGTAAAAGTAAGCTTGTCATAAATTTGTTCTACAAAATATGAGAAAATAGAATACATACAAGAAATGAAGGCATGCTATAATCCATCTAGAACAGAATTCACTAATTTGATTTTCTTTGTCAGAAATGGATTTATACTGCTAATTTACACATTTATTCATTCAAGGAATAGCTGAGTATCCATTACATGCTGTAAAGAAAAGAGGCTTTCAGACATAAAGGTAGGGGTTGGAAAAACAGCGAAACGTCTTCAGAGCTGGTTGTACCAGCAGAGGAGGTACAGCTAGGTGTTGATGTCGATGGAGAGAGTTGTCTTTTGAGAAGGTTAAGAAAATATGAAAAACCTCTTCTGTCTTTGCACAGATGTTCAGAGAAGTGTTTGCATTGACGAGGGCCAGTAACAAAAGGGCAGGGGTCCAGGGTGGGGAGCTCGGGAGAGGCAGGAGGGCCTTGTTGGGAAGCCTTTTGTCCTGGGAGCAGGAAGGGCTGGCTTGCAGGGGTGAGTGGTAACGCTGTGGCGCCCAGGGAGACGCGTTCAGAGCCTTGTACTTAATAGTTTCACTTAAGAGTCTCTTGTTAAATAGTCTTGAAAATGCTTAGTGATCATTAAGTCCCACCGTGATGGTGAGCCTATCTTAGAATACTCCAGTACCGGCTGGTCAGGCCTCTCATTTCTCATTGTTTATTACCAGCTCTGTGGATGAAGCACGAGCTTTGTTTGCAGCCTGGTTATTTCCTTTGTAGACAGACACATGGCAGAGATTTCCGGATCAAAGAAGACACGGCAAAGCCCGGGTGCGCACTGCGGGCTCGCCGCGTCCCCGCAGTCAGAGGCGGCGATGCGCAAAGGTGATGCGCACTGCGGGCTCGCTGCGTCCCCGCAGTCGGAAGCGGCGATGCGCAAAGCCCCGGTGCGCACCGCGGGCTCGCTGCGTCCCCGCAGTCGGAGGCGGTGATGCGCAAAGCCCCGGTGCGCACCGCGGGCTCGCTGCGTCCCCGCAGTCGGAGGCGGTGATGCGCAAAGCCCCGGTGCGCACCGCGGGCTCACCGCGTCCCCGCAGTCAGAGGCGGCGATGCGCAAAGGTGATGCGCACTGCGGGCTCGCTGCGTCCCCGCAGTCGGAGGCGGCGATGCGCTTCCCTGCACGCGAGGCTACGTCCGCATCTCCTTTAGTGTCCGTGTTAACCTGCATTTAAAGCGTTGGTGACCTCCGCGTGGCGCACGTCTCTCTTCCATATTCTTAGGCCACTCTGGAAACTTCCTCTCACTGACGCGCGAGGGTTGCGTGTTAACAACGCGGGTCTTTTTGCTCTTCTCACACGACGCCCCTCTGCTCCCCGTTGGCTTCCTTTGTGTCCGTGCCTTTTGGAGGTACTTTTTCTGTGTATTGTTGGAGGACACTTTGAGGCTCCCTCCTCTTTCTGAGGGCTGAGTCCCCGCCCGCCCTTCACCGATTTTAAGCTTCACCAGGCCGCAGCGGGCAGAGCTGGACCGACGGACAGCGACTGAAGCCGGGCGTGCTCGCTTCCCAAGCACTGCGCGGGCACCTGCCGGGCCCGGGGCAGGGGGGGGGGCGATGCCCGCAGACAGGGGCGGCGCGGTGGGGAGGGCTGGGCCGGAGGCGGCGAGGCGCCCGCGGGAGTCCAGCTCCAGACGCAGCGGCGCGTCCGCCCGCGGAGCTCCACGGGGAGGAAGGACAGACTCCCGGAGGGAGACGCGCTGGGCAGCGGCCCGAGCCTGGGACGTCCTCCGCTTCCCTTCCGGACGCTTCTGACCCGGGCTGTGGCCTCGGCCGGGGACGCTGCTCCGGGGAGGAAGGGGGGGCCGGGCTGAGCCCGGGCGGTCACGGCGGGACGCGGACAGCGGCCGCCCCGCCCCGGCCTCCGGCCCCTTCGGTCGTGAGCGAACCCGTAACACATCCGCATCCTGGTTCCGAGCGAGCCGGGGGACGCGCTCTGAATCCGCCACAAACGCGTGGCCTGGGGCGGGGTAAATGCCTCGGCCAGTTCGGCCTCTCCGCTAAGCGGGAATCTAGCGCCTCTCCCCGCCTAACGAGCGAACGAGTCCGCGAATCCGCCTCAGAACCGAAGCCCGCGGTCCGAGGTGGCACCGGACGCCCCTCCCACGGCGCCGCGTCCCGGCTGGCGGCCCCGGCCCGGCGCCCCCGCGTTCAAACAAAGGGTTTCCAGCCAGCACGCCGGGTCCGGGCGCCGGCCCGGCGGGGCGCGCTCGGATTGGCTGGACGGCGGTCCAATAGCAAGAGGACGACCGCATCTCCTATTTACATGCCTAGTCCCGGAGGAGGGCGTCCAATCAAAGACTACGGATTTCAAACCCTCATTTGAATATAGAGCTGAGAAGCAGCCCTTCCTCGGCGGTGCCGCGGGCTCCGGAGCCCTCCCGCTCCGGGCCGGCCCCAAGGGGTCCAAAAAGGCCGTCACCAAGGCGCAGAAGGACGGCAACAGGCACAAGCGCGGCTGCAAGGAGAGCTGCTCCATCTACGTGTGCAAAGTGCTGAAGCAGGTGCACCCCGACACGGGCCGCGCCTGGCGCTACAGCTAGCGCTCGACCATCACGTCGCGAGGTGCAGACGGCCGTGCGCCTGCTGCTGCCCGGGGAGCTGGCCAAGCGCGCCGTGTCCGAGGGCACCGAGGCCGGCACCACGTACCCCAGCTCCACGGCCACGCAGGCGCTCGAGCGCGCGGCCCGGGTCGCTGGTGCGGTGCGCTTGGAGGAGCAGCACCGGATCCCGCGTCCGGCGGGGCGGGGCCGCGCCGATGCCCGGCGGCGTCTCCACCTTTCCTCCCCGGTCCCCCCACCCGCGTCTGTCCAGTGTGCGTGCGTGAGCGAGCGGCGCCGCTCCTCCCCACACCCGCGGCCTCTCTCCCCAGTGTGCGCGTGCGTGTGAGCGGCGACGCCGGGCCCGCGGCCTGGGAGCCGCTCGGTCCGCGCGGCGCGGGGTGGGCGCGGGGCGGCGTTCTCACCGATCGCCCACGGACGGCGCGGCCGGGCCTCGCACCAACCCGGGAAACGGAGTCAGGGAGGCGCGAGGGGGACGCGGGCCCCGGGTGGCCCCTTCGTCTCCGGCCGAGCGGCTCCGCCCCCGCCCGGGGCCTCGATGGCGGGGGCCACGGCCGGCGGCTCCCGCGTCCGTCCGTCCATCCGTCCCGTACACTGGAATGGGAGCTGGGACGCAGCTGTTCCTTCCGTCCTGGCCTCCTGGTCATGGCCCAGAAGCCAGCGGGCTGTGCACCGTCCAGAGCCGTCCACGGTGAGACGGCAGCGGGGGCCCCGGGCCCTCGGCCCCTCGCTAAAGCCGCTATCTCACCCCCCCCCCCAACCTGGCATCCTCTGGGCGCCGCCGCCAGGGCTGCGCGCACGGCCGGCCGGCCGCGGAGTTCACACCGGTGCGCAGGAAACTCCCCGATCGCTTTCCACTGCGACCCCGCGGGGCCGAGCTGAGCTCGATCCGATCTCCTGCTCCCCCTCAGTGGACACCAATGAGAAGACAGGAGCCCTCTAGAACCCTTGCTTCCGAATGCCGATTCTAAAAGGCACTGAGCACTGATGCTTAATTCATCTTAGTATTACAGAGGACGACACTTGATGCCTGAAAATACCAAGCCTTCCCGGGAGAACCCTTAAGAGATGAAAGTTTGAACAGAAATAGACAGCTTTTGTCCTGTCTGTCTCTCTTTCGGTCATGGTGGACTTGAACTCAGGACTGGGTGCTGTTCCCGAGCTCTTTTGCTCGAGGCTAGCGCTACCACGTTGAGCCACTTCTGGTTTTTTGGTGGCACCGTCTACATAAGAAGCTAGTTTCAAAAATGCATCTATGTGGGGCTGGGAAGGTGGCTCAGTGGTAGAGCGCTTGCCTTGCATGCCTGAGGCCCTGGGTTCGATTCCTCAGCACCACATAAGCAAAAAGA